TTTCTGTTAAATAAAATATCTCCTTTTGAAGTGGACTTTGAGCTTTGTAACTTTGCAGATCTTTTTTATGCTCAAACAGCAACATTACAGAATAACTCAAGTTGAAAAAGTGAAAAAGCATAATAGGACCCCTTTAAATTAATTTAAAGAGTTTATTAATTAAGATTAAGATGAATAAGTATTATTATAGTTGATCTCCCCCTTTCTTACACCCATTGCCATGTTACCTTTTCCATTGGCCCAGAGTTTGCAGGTACTGTATGAATATAAATCTTGTAACAAGCAGATTTAAGTACAGTCTTCAATTCAATTCAATTCAAGTTTATTTGTATAGTGCTTTTCATGATACAAATCGTTGCAAAGCAACTTTACAGCAAGTTAAGTTTCTACAATATTTAGTAGAAACTTATTAGTGGTGACTGTCAGTTAATGTACATCAGTGTTAATGTACGTCAGTCTTAATAAATATATATATTTTTTAAAACCAATATATGTCACTGTTATATATAGCCTTGTGGAAACACACTGATAAAAAGGGCAGTCCAAAAGAGTCCTGGCTCAGGGTCTTTTGTCGATCACGGCCCCCTTCTCTCCTCCTATTTGTTCTGTCCAATAATAACATTTTTATTTAAAAAGCATTATTGTAAGTATATCAGACCACTCAGGCTGTATTTGTCTTTCAAGGCCAAACAATTGCCTTATGTGAGAAATACCCAAATCTGATCAGCATGCCCATCCACCATAATCCTCAAATCCCAGGAACATTCGTGAATTACCTTCTGAAGAAACATTACCACAGCTTAAATGCCAAATGGCATTCCCATTAATACAGTGAGTCATATTGACATTACTGGTGCTATTATTAGCACTATTAACTTATATGCTGCATTTTGATACTTTTTTGTATAATTATGCCAGAATATTCTCCAAAATGTCTCCTTTTCTGCTTAAAGGAAGAAAGAAAGTCATACAGGTTTGAAAAGACATAAGAATTTTCATTTTTGTCTGACCTATCCCGTTAAGAATTCAACAGCAGATCATGCAGAACCTGTGCTTTATGGGTTTGAATCAGTGCCTTCTACCCCTGTGGAGTAACCGTATTATGATCTCACGGGTCCTGCTCTCACCCTCTCCAGTCTGTCACCATCTAGTAAAAGAGATCTTAATCATACCAGAGCGTCTAACCATCCACCGGCAACGGCTAGCAGGTACTCCTCTAAGGTTTGTGGCATGCGTCAGACATAAAGAGAGCAGCCCTGGGGTGTGCTAATGTCTTAATTCTCTTTCTCTGTCTGGCAGATGATGGGACGGAGACTAGGCATGAGACGGGCCCAGCCACGGACTCAAAGGAATACTGCTCACAGGACAAGGACATAGTGGAGGTGGTCCGTACAGAATACGTCTACACAAGACCTCCTCCCTGGTCTGACGTGTTGCCCACCATCCACGTCATCACTCCGACATACAGCCGCCCTGTGCAGAAGGCCGAGCTAACGCGATTGGCTAACACCTTCCTCCATGTTCCCAACCTGCACTGGATTCTGGTGGAGGACTCTCAGAGGAGAACTCCTCTAGTCACGAGGCTTCTGAGGGAAATGGGGCTGAACTACACACACCTGAATGTGGAGACCCCACGGAACTACAAGCTGCGAGGGGACACGAGAGATCCCAGGATTCCACGTGGCACCATGCAGAGGAACCTCGCTCTGAGATGGCTACGGGAGACCTTCAACTCCAACAGCAGCCAGACAGGAATCGTCTACTTTGCAGATGACGATAATACATACAGCTTGGAGCTGTTTGAGGAGGTGAGTTAAGACAGGGGTAATAATAATCTCCATCTGAAATTGTGTACTGTAACATCAATTATTGGGTGTTGGTAAGTGACTGCACTTGTAAGGAGTTTAACTACATTGATAAAATAAGAAGCTTTGTTTGAGTGCTTCAACTGCATGATCATTTGACTTAGTGTATTATATTCCCATTACTCTCCTTCTGTGAAATATCCATTTAATTCCATAATCATTATATGGATAGATCACCCAAGAATGACAATTTTGTCACCATTTACTCACCCTCGTGTTTTCCTGTGGACAACCAAATTATGAAGAATGTTTCAGCTGCATATGAAAAATGTCAATGGGACTCCAAACTTTCAAGCTCTAAAAAAGGCATTAAAAGTAGCATGAAAATAATCCATATGACTGGACTGGTATTCCAAGTCTTCTGAAGCAAAATGCTCAATTTGTATGATTAACAGATTAATATTTAATTAAATCAAAACACTGGTCAATGCACAGTCTTTCATCATAAGGACAAAAACAGCTGAAACATTCTTAAAAATATTTTCAAAATATTTAATGTTTCACAGAAGAAAGAAAATCATACAGGATTAGAACAGAATTTTCACATTTGGGTAACTATTATTTGGATCTTATTATGCTACAGGTACATAAATACCTGTCAGGACTTTCTTCACATGAAACACCTTTCAAATCCTCTGAATTTTGAGAGGCTGCTCTGAAAAGAAAAATCATTGATGGTGGGTGGTGAAAAATCAGGCACATACTTCTGAAACACTGGCAACAAAAGACACAAGACTATAATTAGGGTGGAACAAAAGCTGCCATTTCTGTTGATATATGTGGGTTGTACATTTTAAAAGATTAATATTCATACTTAACATACTTTCAATAGCATGGTACTTTCCATGGACACTGTAAAATGCAGATTTTATAACTCAGTTGCCTTTTAAATCAGGTCTGGCCTTTGATAATATGCGTATAGTATCATGGTAATGTATAACATTTGTTTACATTAATCAGTGTTGATCTGTAGAGTCATATATTTCATTACATTTTAATTTTCTTATAAATTTTCATGTGGAAGAGACTAGCTTCCTAACTCAAGCTTTCACTGAAGTTAACTTAATATTGTATCTTTGTTTGATGCATATTTTAATTTTTAAACAAATTAGTTTGTAATCAAGCTATAACTGGCAGACCGCCTGCAGTACCGCCGCAGATCCCCTATGGTCTGTGGACTTTGTTGAAAATACTTGTTCTAAATATTAAATCTTAGAAAATGTATCAGAGTTTATAATTCATATATAATGTATTTAAATAGCAATCTTCCCAAGATAAACAAGGTTTTAAATATAAAATGTTGAGTATAGAAATATTAAATGATTAAAATAACTGAAACGATACTTTTTTAAATGAAACTAAAACTGCCAGCAGGTGGCTGCAAGTCACTGATTTTATCACTGAATCATTCATTCAAATTATTCGTTTGAATGGCTGATTCATTCAGGAATGAAGCAAGTGACTGGCCCTGTCCCAAATGGCACCCTAAACCCTCACGGTCTTCCTCGGAGTCTGCACTTTTGTGAAAGGATTCATGAGATATGTCTGCGATACATTACTCAACACTGCAAAAAAACGTAGAAACCTTTGAAGCTCCCCTCGGCGATCACAATCACAAATATGATGATGATCTGGTCAGTCGCACTGGTGCTCCTAAATATTTTTTCATAGTCGCACGCAGTAGCTCCCTTTCGATACTTCACTCGGGAACTATGGGAAAAAGCATTTTTTCTCCTGAACTGAAGCCTTTTCATTCACGCAGTGAAACTGCACAGCCATTGGTTCGTGCAGGGCTTAAAAAAATGAACCAATGGCGCGGCAGCGGAGCTGCACGAACCTATGGCGACGAAGCCCGCCAGAATGGGCAGGGCATCTGGCTATATAAGTGGGAGCTCACCACAGGATTCTCAGGTTTACTTCGACTGAAGCGACGACTGAGTCGTGCAGCTACATAGCACGGCCAGCAACGCAGTCATCGCGATCTCACATTATAATCAACGAAGCTCTCTAGACTGCACAATTAATCTCTTATTTACACCCTGTCTACACTTTGCTTATGAAAGGACTCGTGAGATACAGTATGTCTATGATACATTACTCAATGCTGCAAAAACAAGTAGAAACCTTTGAAGCTCCCCTGAGCGCAATCACAAATATGATGATGATCTGGTCAGTCGCACTGGTGCTCCTAAAAAAATGTTTATAGTCGCACGTAGTAGT